TGTTCATTATTTAATTTAGTTTATTTTTGTTCATTAGGTTCCCTGTTCGTTATTTTGATATTTAGATTCAATTATTGAAAAATATGTATTTCTATTTTATTGTTCATATTGCCTCCCTCCTCCTCCTCCTCCTTCTTCTTTTCAAGAAGACCCTTTACCATTTCTTGTAATACTGATTTGGTGGTAATGAACCCCTTCAGCATTTCATATAATACTGGTTTGGTGGTGATGAACTCCTTTCGCTTTTTCTTGTCTATGGAGCCCTTTATCTGACCTTCAATTCTAAATGATAGCTTTGCTGGGTAGAATAACCTTGGTTGCAGGTCCTTGCTTTTTATCACTTTGAATATTCCTTGCCACTCCCTTCTGGCCTGCAAAGTTTCTGTTAAGAAATCAGTTTATTTCTAAAGCCAGAGCTTTATGTAAAAGCTGATGTATATCCAAACATCATCAGCCCTTTGTATGGTCTTTTCAAACATCCAATTTCATGGATGATTTATCAATATCACTCATGGGCCCATTGGATGCTGGAGATGAGTGTAATCATAGGAAAGCTATGTTCAACACCACCCCATGTGCTGTAGGTGGATATCTCCTTTAACCCCAGAGCAGCTCTACATAGCAGCTTCTATTATTATCCTTCTTCTAGGAGCGAGGAAACTGAGGCCTGGGGAGGTGAAGTGGTTTCTGCAAGGCGGCAAGGTCCCAAATCTCCAAATGTACTATTTTTGGAGCCAGCCCTTTTAATCACTTGAAAGGCCTTACAGAGTATATAAGGGGACTACATGCCCGTGCGTATGTGCACACACACACACACACCAAATAAAATCAAATAATACAGAGTGCTGCCGAAACCGGTTTGGCTCAGTGGATAGAGCGTCGGCCTGCGGACTGAAAGGTCCCAGGTTCGATTCCGGTCAAGGGCATGTACCTGGGTTGCGGGCACATCCCCTCTGGGAGATGTGCAGGAGGCAACTGATTGATGTTTCTCTCTCATCGATGTTTCTGACTCTCTATCTCTCTCCCTTCCTTTCTGTGAAAAATCAATAAAATATATATTAAAAAAAAATACAGAGTGCTTATTGAAATGATTCCAGTGGAGGTCCTAAAGATAGTCACAAATAACTTCAGAAGAGACTCGAGGCTTTCAGAGAGTAGGTAATGGCTTCTTGAGGGAGCCAATGGAATTTAGTGGAATTTGGGGTGGGGAAGTACAGGATGCAAGTAGTCAAGGACAAGATCTGGACTCAGAATAATGGTGTGAGAAACAAGGAGTGTGGGGCATCAAGGAAGCAGTGGGAAAGGAGGCTGGAATACTACAGAGGGAGAGGAAACGAACATCTTGAAAGGCCTTGGATACATGTGATAAATTTAATGACATGATCATTGTTCATGAAAAAGATGAAGCTCCCCATATAATGAGTGATCAGTCGCTCACTATTAATCGCTCACTATTAACTTTCCTACCAAAAGGCAGTCACAAACCAACACAAAAGACGAGTGCATACACTTGTTCCTTAATTAACTGGCTCATTCAAGCAATACTGATTGAATGAGCATCGATTCTGTGAATCATGACTTCTGCCCTCGGGTGGCTTATGGCCTAGCAAGGGAGAGACAAACAACTGTATACAAAATGACATAATATGTGACCACATTGGAGGTACATGGTTCAGACATCAGGGTGGCATTCCATTGGAAATGGCATTAAAGCTGAGACCTGATAAATTGGAAGTAACAAGACAAAATGAGGGAAGCGAGAAAGCAAAAACTCAGAGGCAAGGACGAACAGGATAGCAGTGTTGAGGAACAAAGAGTAATTTGACCTGGCTTTAGAGTGGGAGAGGGGAAAGTGTTGAGAAAAGATGCTAGAAGGGTACATAAGCCCAGGACTCCTAAGGCCTCTTAAACCGAATGTAGGCTCTATTCTAAGATCAACGGGAAACCAGAGGATTTTAAGCAGAGAAGCAACACCATGAAGTTTGCCATTTGGAAAGATCATGGAGGCTGCTGTTTGGAGTACGGATTGGAGGGGCAAGAGTAAAAAGATAGAGGCCAGAAGAACCTCAAACTCGGGAACATGGCTATGACTGTGGACATGGGAGCAGTCCCACTCAGGTGACACAATGGGGGAAGGAGCCATATCTCCGAGTCCAAGGGCCTTCCCAACTTCTGCCCTCCTCCCAAAGGAACCCCAAGTTCTTCGCTGGGACTCACAGTGAGCACATCATGTTCTCTAACTCGACTTCACCTTGCAAAGGAGGACTTCTGCTTCTGCCCATGAAGAATAACCAGTGCCAGACTTGCCCGCGCTGTCTACCGCTGGAAAACAGGACAGCAGGTAGCACAGACTGTGACCCTCCAGAGAAGAAAGCCTAATGAGGAGAGCCCGATGACCACTCAGACTTTCTGCCCAGAGGCACGTTCCAGACCCTGGCCCAGCAGGGGACCCTCAGCAGGGCCCTGTCCCCTTGTTGAGTGGAGGCAGAGAGGTTGGAGTTCAGGAGACAGAGGCTGCCAGACTTTTCAGAAACCGAGAGCTGAAAAAGGAGGACGCTATGCAGAGCGAGCGGGAATCTGTACAGGGGTTCCCTGGAGCCTCTGACTGAATACCCTGCGGACATGCACAGGGAGGACACCAGGAGCCAGGCAAAGAACCGTAAGGCACTGTCGGTGAGAGGTACTGACTTTCCCACCAACCAGAGTGGAGAGACCTCATTGAACAGGCCTAGGAAGTAGCCGGCCTGACCAGCCAACAGTCAAGGCTCCTGAACCTGTCCTGACAAAGATACAGACCCGAACCATCTCATGTGCTGGCCACCAGCCACATGAGGCTATTGAACCTTTGACATGTGGCTAAACTGAGATGTGCTTGTGAGTATTAATAAAATACAATCCAGATGTTGAAGACTTTAGTATAAAAAAAAAGAATGCAAACTGTCTCATTAATGGTTTTATACTGATTACATGTTGAAATGATAATACTTTGGGCATAATGGGTTAAATAAAGTATATTATTAAAATTAAAATTTTAAAAAGAGAGATGGTCCAGTGGTCACCGAGTAACCACAATGGAAAGTATGCAGAAAAGAATATTTCAAAATCCCTATTGAGCTTTCTTATCAATAAAATCTACCTTTTGAAATATTGACTTTCTTATCCACATTTCCAGTGCCTTACATATAATGCTGTCAAAATAAATCATCACATAATAAATAATAATGTGGTTTTGAGGAAGGTTTTTTTTGGCAGTAATGGCCTATGAAGGAAATTATTAGGGGTTTAAAAGGTAAATACTCCCTAAGAGATGAAAGAAAGCATTGAAGACCCCTGAACAGGTAGGTTACAACTAGCTGTGGTTAGAGAAATGGAAACAAACAAACAAACAAAACAAGGTCTTAACAAAAAAAGGATAACCAGAAATACCAAAAAAATGATTTTAATTAAACATTTTTACCTCCATTTTACATTTCCGAACATCAGGGGGGAAATTTTCCTTCAGTCGAAGCTGTTTAGGTATTTTGAGACCTCTGTTTCAGTTTATAACTATCTTCAGTTTACATCCATACAAATATAAATACTATTTATTAAAATTCACATTAACTTACATTTTTTAAAGTGTCTAAATGTAGAGTGAGAAAGTGGCAGTGGGAAGAGAAGCTTGTTTGTCTAAGATGCTGCAGGAAATAACAAGTCCTAAAACCTGGGTATAAGCTGCATTTGTAGCAAGAGAATATATGGGGAGTCCTTGAACATTTTGTGGGGGACAGGGCAAGATAAGAAACTACCTCATTAGCTTTGGCGGGCAACATGGGTCCGTGAGTACCACAGAGCTACCTCTTATGAGAGCAGTGAATCTCTCCAAACCAGGCTAGACGTTTCCAAGAGCAGCATAGCTTACAGTGGCTCATCGTGTTTCATAGATAGTGCTTCCAGGTTTGGGAGTGTAGAGGCTCTCAAGACACACATCAAGAAAAAAAACGAAGAGGAGATGATGCTCTAGGAATACTTCCTGATGGAACTGTTTTGGCACCTGAGAAAGTGGTCGATTATTTTGATGCAGTACGCTGGCATACAAATATAAAATTTCAAGCATAACTGAGTTGGCATTTTCTACGTGAATCCGAAATTGAAATGTTTCACAGTGAAATGCCAATAATCTATGTAAACATCTTTGAAGTAGAACCTTATTTAAATTCTGCATTCAGAGGTATACACAAGCTTTCCCTGAATATGCTGAGTTTCAAACAAAGTTGACAAATACTATTGCAAAATCTCTAGAATCATCCTCCAGGAACTGGGAAGGTTAGAGGCAAAGTTGCTTTTTCCAGTGATTATGACACTGCATCAAGAGGTCATAGCTCCTGTTGATGGATGGGGTCAGCCTGTAGGTCGACCTCTGTATTCTTGTACAGTAATTATATTCACATCTACAGAATCATACCTATGAATAAAACCTACCTTTTGAAATATTTACTTTCTTATCCACATTTCCAGTGCCTTATACATAATGCTGTCATAATAAATCCTCACATAATAAATAATAATGTGGTTTTGAGGAAGGTTTTTTTTGGCAGTAATGGCCTATGAAGGAAATTATTAGGAGTTTAAAAGGTAAATACTCCCTGAGAGATGAAAGAAAGCATTGAAGACTCCTGAACAGAGTACAGTTAGCTGTGGTTAGAGAAATGGAAACAAACAAACAAACAAAAAACCAAGGTCTTAACAAAAAAGGATAAACAGAAATACTAAAAAATGATTTTAGCTTTAATTGTTTTAATCTAATAAAGTATTAGATACTAGAACGTGACCCCAGTGTTTTGTCTTTGCAAACACACCTATGTGCATACTTGACATGCCACTGCATTTATTCTTAACCAGGGATGTCTAGATTTTAAATAGTCTTGAAGACAGAATCATGAGGTCCTTGAAACACATAAATAAGTAGCCCTGCAAGTATAATAAATGTAAGGAGGAAAATATACTCAGTAAAAAGTGAAGAAATATATGAGCCCACAACTAACTTACCTAATTTTTCTATCTAATGTCTGTACTCAAAACTGAGTTAGTTGTTTTTCACTTTAGACCAACCTTTGGCTTTCATTTTCATTTGTGATGTTAGTATTTTCACGTTTACTAGTAATGTCATTGAGGACTATATCTTGAATTTTATCTGCGTGAGCACACAGTTTGATTTTTTTGAGACCTGTAATCAAAGTGGTAAATGCGTCTTTCTTCCCGTGAACTTGATACCAATTACGGAGCAACTGGACCTTCTGTTCAGCCGTATTTTGGAGATTGTCATTCTTGATTTCATCTATTTTGGCTTCTTTGAGACCATTCTTCCGAACGAAATCTCTAACTTCACTTATTGTCATTAGCTCAGCAATAGTGCTAATGTAATCAGTCAAGTCAATGTCTGAAAAAAAGAGAATAGTCTCTGAAAATTGGTTCTGGTAAACAAAATTGCCATGATTGGAAGCCATTTATTCCTCCTCTTATAGGACTTAAGAATACAGGTTAGTCCTAGAGATCTAAAGAGCTGATAGGGAAACGCAAAAACAGCAATAACCTTGCCTTCTAATCCCACGACGTCCTATGTCCCCAGTAATTTGCTCTATGACCTGAACAAGATAAATAACATCTCTATGTCTTCTTTTCTCATCTATCAACAGGTTGGAAAAGATCACCCCTAAGGTCCCCTATGGGTCTGATGTTCAATGACCTACAAACCTAATACATAGGCAAAGGGTTTATGATCATCTTCTCTCTGAATCACAGCTCAAAAAAGAGAACTGAATAGAATAATAATTTGTTGTTACAGAGCTGGTACACGCCCATAATAACTGAGTCTACTATTCAGATTACCTCTAAGTCAATTTAGGCAGAAGTTCTATAATACACCTAAATGTTTGTAAAGGAAAATTTTCCAAAGCCTCAGAATATAGTGTTTTATTGCTACCTCATTTATTTTTAAACTAGGAATATTAGTTATAAATTTAAACAAACTGCTTAAAAAACCCTGGATGGTGAATGGGAAGAACTATAAGTTCAAAGAATAGCAAGACCCCACAATATGGCACTGAAATTAGCAACATTATCTTACTCTAAAATTGGCCTGCTACTCCTATGGGAGCCAGCTCTATGAAATAAAATGATAAAAGCCTTACCTGGAGAAATCACTGGGAGCATTTCCTGGACAGAAAAACAACAACAACACATGGACAGAAAGAGAAAAAAATAAAAATACACTCAGAATAGTCTAAATGTAATCTTTAACTTTTTCCTTAATACTGAAGGAAGTACAATCAGTTGCTTGATATATATAATTAGCTAGATGAAGTGATTAAGGATTCTTTCATCATTCAAATTTTTATTCTGAAAGGTTCCAGCATTTCCAGAAACTAAAGAACATTGGCTTATGTTTTACACATTCAAGGAATCTAGGGAATTCATGGAATGTTCTGAGGTTATGTTTCATATAGACTCACGAAAACAAACAAAATAAACACAGTCATTCAAAAACTCTTTTTACGGTAACTATTCTTCCTTTTGACATGAGGAAATGGTTTAAATTGAAATTATTTTGTACTATATTGATGTTAAAAACCCTAACTCACACTGAGCCCGAGCCCTAAATGAGAAAAAGCATTATTCATGAAGTGAACTGGTTTATCTTCCCTGTGTAACTTTTGCTATTTGAAATGCTTTGATTCCATGTTGGAAAAGAAATATAGTGGGGGCTATGTAAGTGGCTGGAGAAAGTTGAGCTGTGCTCTATTTATAGTGGGCTGTAAGAGCTGTGTCTGTTCGGGCTTGGACACCGAATCCATGCTCTGGTAAAGGATGTCTGTAGTTTCTCTGCATGAATAACACCGATATGGGACATGTTGCTTGGCCACATCCTTTTTCCAACTCACCTTGAGCAGCCTCCCACTTAAGTCCTGTGCTAACTCTTACGTTGTATGGAGCTTACTTATATACTGTGCCTCATATCTGAATTACTTTTTGATGCCTTCTAACTCATGCACACACAGACACAATAAATGCTTGTTTTAAAAAAGTAGCAAACACATTTGTAATACCTTAATAATAATAATTAAAAAAAAGAAACTTCTAAAAAAAAAGTAGCAAACAAAAAGTTGAATTACTACCTTCTCTATGTTTTTAAGAAAGCTGATGCATGTTTCAACACTTACAGTCTCTGGAGATATAGGTTCAGAGAGAGGAAGATTATTATTCCGGCGCCGTCTTTTCACCCCTAAAAGATGAAAGAAATTTCTATCAGACTCAGGTCTCAGCCTTGGAGGAAATACTACTGTCACACTAGAGAAGTGTGAGAAAAAAGCAGAAATTCATTGAAATGTAAAGTGACCCTAAAATACAGAATTGTCCTGATTTTGGACAATCTCACCCCACCAGGTCAAGTGTTCTGAAGATATGACACATATTTTAAAATATATATTTTTATTGATTTCAGAGAGGAAGGGGGGGGAGTAGAGATAGAAACATCAATAATGAGAGAGAACCATTGATTGGCTGCAGAGAGAGAATCATCGATCAGCTGCCTCCTGCACTCCCCTCACTGCAGATCGAGCCCACAACCCAGGCATGTGCGCTGACTGGAAATCAACCATGACCTCCTGGTTTATAGGTTGAGGTTTAACCACTGAGCCATGCCTGCGGGCAGTATGCCACACCTTAATTGAGACATCCAATTACCTCACAGTGGCTTAGCCTAAAGCTGGCTTTTGACTTATTGAATGACATCACTATTTCCTCTCATCAACCTGGAGCTACATGTCATGGCTACAGCAGGGCATATAAGCACAGGATAAGGAAAGCTGATGACATCAGCTTGCCATGGAGTGGCATTTAATGCCCAGAAATTCAAGTACATGCACTCACAAATACCTCAAGTATACACACTCCATGAATATCTGCCTTGAAGTCAGTATGAGATGGGAGAAAGGAATGTGTACGTCTGCAAGCATGGTTATGATATTTAAACATAGAATACTGTATGTATTTTTAGCTGAGCAACCGCTTTATCTTCAGCTAAAATGAAGAAACAGAGCCTATTCCAATTGGATGCTTCAGAGTGATTGAAAGTTGCATCACCCTGTGTTTTAGAAATGATTAAAAGGGATTTTTTTTCTTGTGTAATTATGATTACCCTCAATTTGGGCTTATTTGGCTTATCTGCTTATTTCCTAGGTAACCCTTGCATAAAATGTATTGCACAATATTTTAAATTATAGTGGATAAATAATAAAGTCATGGAGTTTGAGCAAGGGTGAGGAGGCGCAGAGAGGGACGAATTTACCAAGTGTCCCCTGCAATGCCTTTCCCAGCAAGGCCCTTGCTTCTTAATGTGTTATCTTAATGCACAGGACCACCTCAATGGACGGTGAAAGATTACTTTTGATTCTTGGCAAACTTGCTGCTGCCAGGATGAAAACACAGTGAGGATGGGACTAGCCACTCAGTGCTCCAAAATGGTTGCTCAAAAACTGTAGCTGAGGGATAATATAAATATAATCTATTCTTTCAGCGTTCATGTGTGCATTTGGTGGCAGGAATTAAAAAATATACCAGGGCTAGCTACCTACCCGGTGGAAGCTTTCTGATGGGTTGGAGACAGAGGGGAATTCTTTGAACAAGTCCTTTCCAAGTTATTTCAATGTGCAACTTAAACAAAGTAAGAACTTACACCACACTGTGAATGCAGCTACTGGAACCAGGACCAGGAGCCACAGCAAGTGTAAGTGAGATGTGGATCCTGTAGATTGGAACATGGGACATTTTACATGAAAATGAGCAGTCTTTAAGATTAAACAAGGTATTCGCAAAGAATCAAAAGGGATTGGCTTTTCTTCATATTTTACTGTGGGAATAGGAGAAAGGAAGAGTCTACTCATTAAAAAAAGTAATAACCTGCTTTACATCTGCGGTCATTGGTTGGTGTGCAATCCTCAATGATTCCATGTTCACACCTAAAAAAAATACAGAGAAAATGCAAAAAGCCTGGTGGGCTAATTCCTTGGTCATTTTCAACGACACATTATACATCTCGGGTCATTGTAGTCATTTTTGCATCTCTGGCAGACATATTCCCTCAACTCTTTCTAGATTCACATGGTAGAGCTGGTAAAAATCTGTAACATAATTTAGATGTTTGGATGAACAAAGAATGACTATGTTTTAAAATACCCAGAGTTAAAAGAAGGTAATAAAGTATTGGCAGAAAAGAAAATGAATGAAATAGATCCTGACATAAACTTAAAATTGGTCATAAGCTGTGCTCTTAAAAGATTAGGAGACAATGATAAACTACCAAAAGCAATTTCAAAGCAGTCCCATCGAACAATAAAAATGGCCAGACAACAGCCACTACCCATGATGCTCCTGAGGTAGCCTACTCCGCTGGGCCTTAGCGGGTTCGCTCTTTAACACCAAGTGGCCATTAGGATACTCAAGAGGTTTCCATATTTTTTTTCAGACAAACACTGACCCAGTCTGAATGAAAGCTGGGCTCTGTCCATTACCTAACTCGGTGAGTTTGAGCAAGTTACTTAACCACCACCAGCTTGTTTTCTCACCAAAACAAGGAGGCAGCATTACCTGCTTTTTAGGTTATGGTGAGAAGAAAATTAAATCAAGATTATGAAGTATTTAGAACTGCTATTGTTGTTATTATTTGACTTACATTAGTCCCTCCCTCCAACTCCAATCCCTACTTCTGTCATCATGAGAGCTGTCTCAGATACTTGGGGCTAGAAAGGAGAGGCTAGGTTAAGTGCACATACCTTACATTTTTTCTAGTAAATAAGAGACATCAAGTATAATGTTCCTACTTTTCAAGCCTACTAGATGAACCCCTAAGATGGTTACAAGTTTAAGGAGCGGTACATGGATATAATCTTAATTATATTTATATGTATGCAAAACAGTGTCTTACAAAGTAAAAGCTATTTTTACAATACATATTACCCAATCTGATCTTCACAAATATGTGACCCATAAGACAAGTGACGACTGCATCTTAATGTGTGAGGAAACTGAGGCTCGGAGAGGTTGAGTGGTCTGCTTAAACTTACTCTGTTAATCAGAAGCAAAGGTTAGCCCTAGCCAGTTTAGCTCAGTGGAGCGTCGGCCCGTGGACCAAAAGGTCCCAGGTTCCATTCCGGTCAAGAGCACGTACCTTGGCTGCAGGTTCCTCCCCAGCACAGACCCTGGTCGGGGCACATGCAGGAGGCAACCAATTGATGTGTTTCTCTCACATCAGTATTTCTCTCTGTCCTTTCCTCCAAGAAGAAGGAGGAGGAGGAGGAGGAGAGGAGGAGGAGGAGGAGGAGGAGGAAGAGGAGAAAAGTGACATGCACAGTCGGGTTTTCTAACTGTGGGTCAAAACCAAGCTCTTTAGCATGAAAGACAAGACCCTTCATGATGTGGTCCTGGCTCCTTTTCAGTCTTTCCTACACCCCAGCCAGGTACCCTGTTCTCTGGAGCTTCCCCTGTCTCTTTGCACCTGCTGGTTCCCTGCTTGAAATGTCCTTCAGATCCATGCTCACCTTCCTTCAAGACTCAAGCCATGTGTCATATCTTCACTGCATCTCCCCCAGCAAGGTTGAAAAGTTCTAAATAACTCAGAACACACTAGGCACGAGTTTCTTCTGATGTTTGCCACATGGAGTTGATTCAATAACCACGCCTTTTTTTTTAATGTCCTTGCCTCTAGCCTGAGAGCTTCGATGCCAGAAATGTGTCTTGCTCATATGGTTAGCTTAAGTGGCTGGAAGTGGCCAGCCCACAGGAGGTTCCATACATGTTTGGAGCCTGGATGTCTGAATAAACAAATGGTTATCCAGTTGTTTGGAGGCAAAGCAAGACTAGAACCCAGTGCTGCTTCCCCCTAGGAAGACATTGTCTCTCAAGGTATATCTAGTGTTTTAATCAGTAAAAGACCAAAACTTACGTGCTGCAAGGGTTACAGTGTTCACATGGAGGAGTGTTACAAAAATAGTTTGATTTACATCTGCACTTGGTATTCTGGGTCTTGGTACAGTTTTTTTCCACTTCTAAGCCTAGAAATTCAATTTGTAGACAATTAGTCATAGCAGCTACTTATACACTGGCTATGGAAATGATGGGCAGGAGCAGCATAGATTTTTGAGATCTGCTGCTTATATGAGCAGTCAGACCATCATGACTTTAGGAATACAACTAGTGTTTACATACAAAACAGGCAACCGCAGGTTGAAATTATTTAGCAGAGTGTTAAATGGATAGACAATCCAGCAACCAAGAAAACCCTACCTTTGCTTAAATAGCTCCCCTGTTCTTCTAGTCTAGAGCCTGGCTACTCAAAGTGCGGCTTGTGGACCAACAGCATCAACATCACCTGGTAGCTTGTTGGAAATGCAAATTGTCAAGCCTCACCCCCACCTGGGCAAGCAGACCAATGCCAAAGCCTGCCCTTAGAGATAAGAGATTCTGATTTAATTGGTCTAAGGTGGGACCTAAACCTTGGCATGTCTCATAGCTCCCTATGTGATTCTAAGGTACAGCCAGGGTTGAGAAACATTGCTTTAGGGCTCTAATGGAGACAAGAAAAGCTTATGTCCAGAGATTTCTTAATGTCAAACAAAACTGGGAGTACTTCTGTCATGTTTTAATCTGGGCCCTCAAAATAGATTGGGCTAGTCACGAAAATCCAGGGGTCCAATTGGAATTATCAGGACAAGCTAGATCCCCAAAGAAGGTGAAGCATTCCACCCACCTCGCAGGATCTTCTGTCCTTGCATTTGAAGGGTTCTGAGCGCTCTCTGGCCATGAACAAGAGCCATTGTACGTGCATAAATCAAGGCAGGAAAAAAAGTTTCTGCACTTTTGATTGGAGCTAATGAACCCTGTTCATAGGGTTCATATTTAGTCTGTCTCCTCATCTGGGAGACGGCCCAGACTTGGCTCATAAGAGTCTAGCCTAGCGATTAGTTCAGTCCCTGACCCTGCTTTACCCCAGTCAGCCCCATCCTACCCCTTCCTGTGTACAAATATAGCACCAGAGTAGGTCCCAAATTCCAATCATAGGTACATTATGAATGATTTTACATGGAGCATCACGATTAGTCACTTTCAATGGCTTTTTAAGACTCGTACCATGCTCTCCATCACAAATCCCGCATCTTCTGCATGTAGGCGAATGATGTTCCTTGTCCGTGTACTCCTTCCCTTCCGAGCAGGGCTCACAGACAAGTTTGTCCCCATCAGCTTTGCAGCCATCCTTTTTCCGTTCACCTGCCAAAACAAGAGACAGAAAAATGGAGCAAGTATTTGAATGCAACAGCATGGGAAGTATGCAGGTACGGCAGCAAAACACTGCTAAGACAGGGAAATTTGGCTAATGATCTATAGACAATAGAGGAGATGCTTATTGTAAAAATCATGTCAAGAGACAGAAAGTCTCCCAAGACAAAAGCTGAAAGAGTGATGCAGGATGATTAACAATAGTAACATGTGACAGAAAACGGAGTGGGGAGGGGGAGGCTGGAATGACCAAATGCACCAGAAAAGAAAAAGCCTTATTAACTTTTTGGTGGGGGAAGGGAGAGGTTGCTAGGAGATAGCTGCTGCTGGCCACTGAGATGACCTAAAGCATTCACTCTTTTCTGGCTTCTCATTTCATTTTCCAAAGTCCACAGATGCGGATAAGAGTTCATGTAAGGAAAAGCACATTTGAGGTTCTAAAGGCTTTGGTGAAATCTTTAGTAGCCCCGTGAGCTTTAACAAGATGCTTCATCTTTCTGAGCCTACATTTCTTCATGCGTAAGATGGAGATAATACCTTGCATTGCTACCAGAACTGCACAGGGCCTGCCTAGTAAATGCTCACAGTCCCTCTTCTTTCTATTCCTTTGCCATTACAGGTCAGAGTAAGTTGTGGTGGGCAGGTATGAACATATTTATAATAAAATTTATCATCAGATTTGTTATCTTAATGCACACAATTTCAAATGATATTCCCATTTGCTTTCATTGACTTGAACAATAAAACAAGTCATCATATTGCTGTGAGTAAGCATTACACAACAATGCCTTTTCCTGGAAAACATATTTATTTAACAAGTGTTTATTAAAGGCTATTGTGTTCCAGGCACTACCTAGGAGCTGGAGGTACTACAGGAAATAAGCAAAGCCTCAGTCGCCAAGACTTCATATTCTCAGGGTAAAAGCAGGCAACACACAAATAAATATATGGCATCAAGTGGTGATCAGTGCTACGGGGAAAACTAGATGATGGCAAAAAAAGATAGAGAATGAAAAAGGAAGTGTCAGAAAATATAAAGGGGAATGTACGAGGAAGTCTTATTGACTAGTGACTCCAATTACTGATGGTTTAAATAATTAAGAAGAACAAG